CTTTGAGCAAGTACCTAAGAGCCCGTGGATAACCACAGATAGAAAGGGTGCTAACACCTTCCCTTTCTATAATCTACCCCCCGGACCCGAGAAACATATCGAAAAAGGAATTTTTCTATGCTTTTTTCCTTTCCTTGTTGGATAAAATAAAAGACGGTGGAGACTCTTGCTTACCGCGACATTTTGCAAAAACAAACGCAAAACGCAAACCAGCATTCCAAAAACAGTCAGTTCTCTCCCACCGTATCACAGAACTGGCGACTCTACTGGGGATATTAATAAGTGGGGTGTACCTTAGGAATAGTTCATATTGTTTTCAATTGCTTGACTTGTATGCTTTATCTTTGTGGGCTTGAATCAGAGTTACTATAGATCCTAACCCGGATCTGGGGGATACCCTTTAGGTAAGTAGCGATAAACTGTGAGGGAACTGTACGGCGTAGACCGATATGGTTAAAGCAGTAGCTACGTTGGTGTGGCACTTTAGTATGTATCGATATCCCTTGTGGCGCAACAAGGAGAATATGGGTCTACTAAGGGGTCATTAAGCACCAACTGACCTTAGAACCTTTAAATTGACCAACTTGGCCATAGAACAGTAGCGGTATGCTACACTCATTGAGACTAAACTCTCGCGATGATTCTGGCCGCAAGAAAAGGTTGCTAAACTAGAATTATGACCAATCGAGGGTAGTTAGTGATATTGAGATCCTCTAGAACCTGGTTACTATTTCTAGGATAGGTTGAACAAACTAAACTGAAAGAGGGTAATACCTAAACTCCATGCCAGCCTAAACTTAAGGCTGTTTATGTGACTTGTGTGCCTTCAAACTTGAACTACTTGCACATTCTTTTTATCTGACAACATGAGTTCCTTGCAGGTTTTGTTTACAGTCCTTATCCAATAATTTGGATTTATTGCAGGGTTTACTTACATCACTTCACACTTTTGCTTAAACGCATAGCATACACATCATAACATCATGCCTTAACATTTCCTTAACCATTTCAAGGATCTCAAGGGTTTGTGATGCAGGTTATGGTAAATCAAATGTCTAGCAAGGGGCAAAGGGGATTTATTTTCCTCTAGCCAAGGTTGTCTAGAAATTAAAACACGATAACTTGAGTCAGGGGCTATGACCCACTCGATATGGTTAGCTTGACTCTTGAAGAAAGATTCTCAACGATACGAAGTTCCTTCAATCAAAGCTACAAGATTCAAATTCTAACAGTTTCTTGTTTACCCCGCGAGATCCTTGAAAACATTGCATACATATATCATACATATCAACGCATAACAGGTCTTCTAGTACATGTCTCTCATGTTCTCGCTGTTTATTTCAGCAATGGCTTTCCAACAAGACAACAGAGATCTTCAAATTCGAGAAACCCAGTTCAGAGAAATCTTCCTAAACATATCCAAGGGGCAGGGAGAGTTGAAAACACTCCTCGTTGGAAACTTGGTCAAGAAAAGTCCTGAAGACAATAAGGACGAACGGCTGAAACATCTGCAAGCTGAGGTAAATGCAATGAGAACCCAGATGCTGGGGCAGATGGCTCTTATCCAAGGCCTAACCCGGGAATAAGAAGAGCTGAGAACCATTATCAACCAGCTTCATCAAGACAGATACAACAACATGAAGCAAACAGTCCAGGACGGGGATCAAGTCATTAATCAACTTCCGAGAAGTCAAAGGTTTGGTTTGATGAAGAATAGAACTCTCCAAGTTGCTACTACCTCACGGGTCCAACAACAACCTTGCCATAAACAACGAGTTGATCAGAGTAAGCCAAATATGCCCAAGAGGCAATTTACCAAGCTCAACATGTCGATGTCTCAGGCTTTACAACACCTATTGAGATTGAATCTGGTGACGTTAAGGGACCCTCCTCAGAATCCCCACATAGCCTCCCCAAGGTACAATCCTGATGCAAGGTGTGCATATCACTCCAACATCCCGGGGCATGATACTAACATCTGTTGGGCGTTAAGCAACAAAATTCAAGACCTGGTTGATGGAGCATTGGAACTCACACAAGACGGTCAGATTGAATTCTTTTGCCATCCCCCCAAAGTTCTCCATTTGAAGTGACAAGTACTGAGACGAGAAGACTTTTTGTTCATTAGAATTTTCAAGTTGTAATTTTCTTTTGATTGTTTAGACATTTATTCATGTCAAACTTTGTTACTTCATCAATGCATTGCATATTTCTGTTTTGAATCAGTCCATTCATATTCACTATATTCAAATTGCTTTCATTTTTGTGATGTTCAACTCTCGATTAAAAAATTCTAAGCCTTTTGAGGGAGGATGACGAAAATGATATCAAAATCTCTACAGTATGCTTTTGAACAGACCCCGCTGACGATGTACAGGCATTGTTTCAAATCCTAAATAGTGGAGTTATAAGGAAGATAATCCCTCGTCCACCCCTTTGAGACAAAGAAGTAGGAGTTTTTCTTTTCACACAAATTAAAACCCTTAATCACAACCCGGGGCAGGGTAGTTTTCTCAGTTGATCCAGGTGCACAATGAATGGCATCAAAGAAGTCCTTCCGAAATAAAAGACTGTGTTGGTTCCGTATAATCGTAAGGACAGGCAATCATTATCTCTCAAAATAAAAGCCCATTAAGTCAAAACCTGTGAAAGAGACTTGCAAAACTGGGGCATCCCGCTGACTGTAATCATAAAACAAATAGTTCAGGCAAAAGACAGGGATAATAAAAACCAAAAGGGAAGAGATCCTGCAAACTCTCAACAAAATGACTGCCTATTCAAAATAAATTGTCAGTATCCGAACCATCACTGGAATATCAGAGCAAAGACTCAAAAGGGATCTAATGCACGATTAAATGAGTTTAGGATCGAAGAATATCATGAACAACAGGTGGGTACAAATAAAATTTGAGCCTTTATCCTTTGTTTCTTAAACCGTGAACCAGACCACGTTATAACCCTAAAAAGTCCTAGCCGAAGCATGGGTTAGTCCGAAAGAATACTGTTACAAAAGGTATCCTGACTCCTGTAGGGCTTGCTGTAAATCTTGAGTTGACATCACATTTTATAAAAAAAATCGCTTGTTTTATTGAAAAATGCATTTTCAAGAAACTTCAAGACAGACATAAGCTTTGCATTCTTAAAATAACATTGTTTACATATGACTATTTGTTCAAACAGCAGAGAAATTCGCACGACGAATATCTAGTGAACAAAAACCTTTTCAATAAAAAGGGTCACCTCAAGTGGAAAAAACACCTCCAACCAAGGGGCACGGCATGAGCATTGTCCATCATCTGGGGAAGTTAAGTCAAGATTCAAGGAATCTCTCAAAATTCCAAATAACCAGGGGCAAATCTCCATTTGAATCAATTGGGGGATTGGACATGAATTCCAGCAACAAATCTTGCATGATCAAACGAAGATCTTCTGGTAGTATGGTAACACAACACTACCGACAGTGACACCTCCTTACATCCTGAGAGCGTGGACATAGTCAAAAAGTACTAGCATAATCAAAGACCCGCTAGGTTGACTGGCCTAGGCAAAAATAAGGGCTTCCCGGCGAACCAAAAGGGTTCGGGCAAAAATAAGAGATGAAAATGAAAAAATCTGTACACCTGGCAAGTCGAAAACCTGAAAAGGCGGTTTGGGCAAAAAAGGGTATCCCAGTGGACTGAAAACCCGAAAGGGCAGTTGTTGTACCCCAATTTTTGACCTAAGATCCCATTTTTATTTTTGCATTTTTTAAGATAAGTCAAGGTCACGAAATACAGTCGGTTTTAATCTCTCACCTTCGAGCTTTGACTATGCGAAGATTGTCAAGTATTTTGAACATTTTTAGCATATGTATCACTAATTTCTAATCGCATACAAAGGTGTATGTTCATGTTTCCTTTTGTGTCATGTGCAGAGACAGGTCTGAATCAAGAGCATCATGTGTCGCGCCTCAATTAAGATTTTGAGTCTCCCAAGCCAGAAGTACGGTTGATTGTAGATTCTTGAAGACTGATTCATCAAGGCACACCGTTGCACCCTTGATTTCGCCCATAATATGTTTTAGTCGCACATTCATACCATATTTTGTTATTTGGTCACAATCAAATATCTTCATTCATCACATTTTGCATCATTAGTCGTATTTAAGTTGACCAAAAAAAGTCAGTTTAAATCAAAGTTTGCATCGTCTTTCAGTTGTAAAATACCTGGCAGTTTGCTTCATGCATTTTTACCTGTTCACTATTTTCTTGCATTGCCCCAAGTTGTTTATATGTCGATAATAAAAATATTTTGGTTTTATAGACAGACTGTTAAAAGCGATTCGACACTATGCGGGAAAGTAGCGAGAAAATATTTCAAGTTTTCACCTTTTACCGATCATTTTATGAATCTGTGCTTCGCGTAGATTATGACGGTATGCTCGTTTTATTTTTCGGTATAATTCGAAGTCTCGTTTTAACCTTAAACGTCTGTTCAGTCTGATATTTTTATTATTATTTTATTTTTTGATTTTTTACTTCTTGAATATTTTTTCTTTAATCTTTGTGACATGTAGATTATTTTAATGTGTTCGTTTTATTTTTTCGGATAAATTTTCGTCCGTTTTTTATCATTTTCGGTTATTTTGGGTCTTTATTTTTTATTCATAAAATATTCAAAAAAATAATTTTAAATTGAGTTAATTTTAATACATTTAGTTTTTTTGGTTATTTTTATCATGTAAGGACTATTTGGTCACAAAATAATGTTTATTACACTATGCTTGATTCCTATTGGCTGTTGGATGAAATTGAGGATCGATACACACACAATACTCTATTCCTATTGGCTGTTGGATGAAATTGAGGATCACCTTCACCATTCACCATTCACCTATTGGTTGTCACAAAAATCACCTTCACCATAAAAAACTAACATTCATAAACTCATGGAGGGGGACACACAAAAAACACAGTAAATAAATTCACTTCCCCTCTCTCCAAAAAAAAAACAACAAAAGCATGGTTTCAAGTTTATACCTTTAATTTCCACTGAAACATGACAATGCATTGGAGAAATGGTTGTTCCTTATTGCTGAAACATCGCAAATCTCCAATCCCATTTGTTCTATCCACAAACCCAATTTCAAATCCAGACAAAACCCATCCTCAATCCAATCTCTTCCCCCACAACACACCTATCTCTTCTCTCTGGATGTTCTGCGGGTGGCCTTGCATCCATAATACATTGTGATGAGTTCCAGAGCTTGTTGCCAAAATCTTCCAAAGTGAAGTGTTTTAGCGACGCCAGATTTTTTCTTGATGCAATTGATGTATCTGGAGGGCGCACATTGAGAAATCTGTTTGGAGGCGTAGTTCAGTTACAGGAAGTACAGAAAAATCTGCCAAAAAATTGTCTCAACAAATTGGACCCAACTTCGTGTTTCTTTCCTCAGAATTTGGTTGAACATGTTGAGACACCACTGTTTCTACTCAATGCGGCTTATGATGTGTGGCAGGTCCAAGCCAGTTTAGCCCCAGCGACAGCTGATCCTCTTGGCGCTTGGAATGACTGCAAATCAAACCATGCAAACTGTAGCTCGTCTCAGATTCAGTTCCTCCAAGACTTCAGAAATCAAATGGTTGATGATCTAAAAGACTTCTCAAGACCATCTCAAAAGAGATAGAAGAATGTCTTAATAAGTTGGATGGTGAATAAAATGGAGCAACTATGATTTTCAAATCGAGGAATAGTTGTTCTTGAATGAGGATGGTACAAAGGTTGAGTATAGAGTTTGGAACCCTTTCCGATCCAAGATGACAGTTGGTCGGTTTTGCTTGTACTGATAACTCATATCAAAGTGATGTGTATGCTTAACAAACTGATGTGTTTTTCAGGTGAAATCTTTAGTGATGTTGTTGGACGCCCATACTATGTTGCTGCCTACAAATCAGCCAAGTTATTTAAGACTTGCAACCAGATTGCTTTGGCTATAAAGAATGAGGTTGAGGATCTTGAGAAAGCCGGCGTTACCGTCATCCAAATTGGAACAGAATCTATGGTCTTCTTTTTCTCGATAATCCAATTGGAACTGGCTTCAGTGTATCCTTAACCCCACAAGAGATTCCAACCGATCAAAACAGAGTGTCAAAACACCTCTTGCTGCTAACAGAATCCCTTGCCCACCTCGTTCTGGTAGATCTTATTACACTCACAAGTGTTATGAAGCTAGAGGACCTGTTCATCCTTATACTAGAGGCTGTTCTGCTATCACGCGATGCAGGAGATGAAAATGAAATCATAAGGTTTTTTTTATTATTTATTTTAAATTCTATTCTCAGGTCGAGAATTAATTAAGATTTTAAGTTAGGTGAAGTTTGTGTTAGCTTTATTGCTAAGTTAATTAATCTTTTAGCCCAACTGCTTTTATTACTCCCCCTCCAATAATTTTTTGTTACACTCTTTCAATTTATTTATCTTAAATAATAATTAGCTTAGTCAATCTAGGTATTTTATAGATTTAATTAAACAATTATGTTTTAGTTAACTAGATAATCTTAATTATTTAGATTAGTTTTAGGCTTAATTTAATAACTTTAGAATTTTAATTTAATTAGATATAAATTAGTAATGTTAAAACCTTTAATTAGTTTAGATACATTTTGATAACTTTAGAATGTTAATTTAGTCTTAGAATTTTAATCTTTAATTTAGAATTAGTTTAGTTTAGATTTAAGTTAGTAATTTTATTATTAATATAGTTTAGATTAAATTAGTAATTTTATAATAAATTTAGTTTATACTAGTTTAGATGTAATTTAGTAACTTTAGAATTAATTTAGTTTAGACCTGATTCAGTAATATTAGAGTGTTGATTTATTTTAGATTTAATTTAATAACTTACGAATTTTAGTTAGTAACTTTAAAATTTTAATTTAGTTTTAGTTAATAACTTCGAAATTTTATTTAATTTAGTTAGACGCTTTAAAATTTAAGTTTAGCTTACTTAGTAACCTTAGAATTTCAAATTAATTTAGATAATTTTTTATTACATTTTTCTTTTATTCGTGATTCTTCTTTGTCTTTTCATTTAGTTTCTTATAATTTATCTCCTTCTCTACCTTGTTCGTTTCTCGTGGATTTTTATTATTTATGCTTCCTTACTCGAATATTAGATCTACCTGCTTATGATTAATTCCAAGGGAAATGTTTTTTAACTTTGTTGACTTCATGTCATCAAATATATTTGTTACAATCGTGCGAATACCCTCATCCATTTTTTGCTTGTTTACTATTTTTCCAAACTTAAGATAATTTTCCCAAAAGATTTAATTTTTAAACTCACACCTTTTAAGTCAAAACTTTGGCATTAGGTCGCTGTCTCTTCAAAAACTCTCCAACACCGATTCTTAGCCAAACGAACCATTTTAATCAAACAAACAATTTTAACCAAAAAACAGATATTTCAAAAGGTTCCTGCGGAGTACCGCAGATGCATTGGGTGCTAATACCTTCCCATTGTATAACCAACCCCCGAACTCTCGATCTCTATCAAAAACGCATTGTATTTTTATTACTTTTAAGTATTATTTTACATTGCATATTTTAGGGTTTTATTTCGCTCTTTTCCCTTTTCCCTTGGAAATAATAAAGCGCGGTGGCGACTCTTGCTTTTTGTGAGTCAAGTTAATTAATAGCTTGATTTCCGATTTTCACCGCTACAGAATTGGCGACTCTGCTGGGGACAGATTGACCTCTTGCTGGTCCATCCCTAAGTGGGTTAAGCCTAATTTATTTTATCTGTTTTATCATTATTTGATTGTTTGATTATATGTATATATTGTGATTATTTGGGTGTTGATAATATTTACAAAGGACAAGTCCTATACCCGGACTAAGTTACACTTAGGAATAGGACGGGCGGTATAGTCATGTTAACTTTGAGGGAGTAATCCCGAAGAAGGAGGCATGAGATCCCCCACTCAGTGGAAGGCCCTTTTGAACGTAATATTTGTTTACCGAGTAATCGGGAAGACATTATTATTTTTGACCTGGGAGCCAGAGAAGCTGGGAACCGTAGAACCCTAACCCATCTTGGCCTTTTAGGTGTAGCGCGAAGATTATAACGGAGTAATCCGGAAGTAATTGTTACGCGATGCTACGCTCGGATGAGTTTCTCTTGAGAATATTGCTGATTATTGAGTAATCAAGACGTTGGTAATATCCGAAGGAGGAATGTAGACTCTGGGAACTCTTAGAACCTTGTTCTACAGGTGTGATTAAACCGTTAGTACATACCTTGGGGGTGTTCCTTACCTTGACTTCATGCTCGTGACGTTGAACCTTTCGACTTCATTTGTGACCTTGCTTGTGGTTGTTGCATAGCCATGCATTCATGCATCCATAAAACCCTTTTCACTTGACTTTGAAGGAATTTGGAGGTCTTTCTTTGTAAACATCACAAGTTTCGTCAAGCTCAATGGATCTTGGGTGTTGATAGGGCGAAAACCCTAATCCACCAAAATGGATGATTGATCTTGATGATAACTTGATCAATGTTTGGAGCCAATTTAAAATTCATCTTCTATCTTCATACTTTGATGTTTACAACTTAATATCTCGAGTTCCTTGAAAGTCAAATAAAAACTCTCTTTTGCATATCATACATCATTCTACATTCTTGTTTCACTGTCAAAGGTCTTTTTCCGAGTCTTATTTTTCCTTTGGTCTCACCAGTACAACACTCGCGCTAAGAGAACAATGGAGAATATCAAGCAAGAGGTTTCTGAACTCCGTAGAGAGATGACTATTTTGAAAGCTAGTATGGAGCACTTAACTGGTTTGGTTGAAATTCTGGTTTCCGCCCAAGTCAGTCCTTCTAGGAAGAAGGAAGCGATGATAAAAGTCTTCACTGAAACTCTGAAATCATTCATTCATGAGAAGATGATAATTAATGCGCCTAGTGACTTTCCTGACAAGGTGAATGTGGGAGTGCGTCTAGAAGAAGATGTCTGAAAGGGATGTTTATATGAAGATAGTAGCTCAGTTAATGGTGTGAAGAAGTTTGATAATGACTTTTCCAAGAAGAGAACCAGAGGAAGAAATAATCATCATCAGAATCATCATGTTTCTCCCATTTACCAACAGAATCAGCAAGTTCCTAATCAGAGGAAAACCCAGTTTGATCCAATTCCAATTACCTATACAGAGTTGTTCCCTATCCTGATGCAGAGGAATTTGGTTCAGACCCGACCTCCACCGAAGGTTCCTGAGAAAATACATTGGTACTACAAAGGTGATTTGGCTTGTACCTTTCATCAAGGTGCTCCTGGGCATGACTTGGAGGGTTGCTTTGCTTTGAAGATTGAGGTTCAGAAGTTGGTCAGAAGTGGTATCTTGTCATTCAAGAACGTTGGTTTTGAAGTTCAAATCAAGCATGTGGCGAAGAATAAACACGATTGATGGTCACTTTGAGTTTTGAAGGATGTTTTCGGCAATTCAAGTCCAGATGGAAAGCCTTCCTAGATTATTAACTTATTTATGCTTTTTGTAATTTTTCTTGTTTATCAAAACATTGTTTGCATGTAAGAACTTGGTTGCATCTGAATGATTATCTTAATACAATGAGTATGTTTGTCTTGAAGAAATTCATTCATTTCACTCATATTTGTTTTCAAATTTTAAATTTCTTTTGGAATTATGATACCAACTTGTTGCCCATTCTCTTGCCTAGGCAGAGATTGAAGGGAGGATGATGATCTAAAGAACACAAAATCTCTGGTTGTTTGCTTTTGGATAAAATCTTGCTGATGATGTACAGGCATTGTTTCAAATCCCTAAACACTGGAGATATAAGGAAGATAATCCCTTGCTAACCCTTTTTGAGCCTTTGAAGCAGAAGTTTCTTTTCTATACGAAAAACCTTAAATTTTTAACCTGGGGCAGGGTAGTTTTTAGTTAATCTGACTGAGTGTTCAAAATTCATAAGGAAGATGTTTTTTGAAGAGAAACTACGAGGGCTATCTTTCATGTATAATGAATCCAGAAGATGTGGAATCACAATGTTATCCCTCATTCATCAAGAAACGAGGCAATCACAATCTTCTCAACAAGCAAATACAAGCTAATGTCACACATTTTGTTCAAAAAGTCAAAAATCAAGAAAAAGAAAAGCCTGCTAAGTCAAAAAAAAACATGAAAACGTGTGGCTTAGGCAAAAACTAAGGCATCCCGCTGGACTATCAATTCAAAAGAATTAGTTCAGGCAAAAGTTAAGGAAAATAAAATTGCAAAGAAAGGACTACAAAGAAAAGTCCTCAGCAAAGAACAAATTGGCGACTACAAACACGAAGACATAAGGGTGGTTTCTACTCCGAAAGCCTCGTCGTTTCCTTGACCGTCACAAAATCCTTTTGAGAGATGAATGCTCATGTTGAATTAACTGAACATAGGATTGGAGAACATCATGAAGGGGGTGGTCACCAAATATTTTGAGCCTTAAAAATCTTTTTTCTAAAAACCATGAACCAGGCCACGTTACAACCTTCAAAAGTCCTAATTGAAGCAAGATTATTTTGAAAGCATGCTTCAATGAGATAGTGTTCCTGACTCCCATGAATGTTCTAAATAGTTATGTTGGTATCATATGTTTTTCCTATACAAAAATAAATGATGCTCTAACTCGCA